CCGATCCAAGCGATCATCCTTGTTCCAACAACAACTCCTTCCGTCTTCATGGCCAGAAAAAAAAARATTGTGATTGGGCGGCCAAAAAAAAAACGAGGAAACGGTGCAAAAAGAGGGATARWAAAACAAAGAAAAAGGTTTCGTTCTTTTGCCCGCKCGTTTGCAACCCTGCATGCAAGRYTCCTTCCCCGTCTCCGACGAAGGCTCCTTCCCCGTCTCCGACGARTAAGTGCCCCCCAGACGATCCCGAGTTCMRATTCCRGGGCGATTATCTCAAGGATTGCGGCTGGGCCGGCGAAAACCCGGAGAAGYGGTGCAAGCKCATAGACCAGGYCAAGAAGGAAAAGGTTGAAAAGTTCTGTCCCTACTCCTGCAACCGGCGTTGCACCTGCAGAGACTCGACGACACCGTTCCGAGTAGGAGACGGGCCTTTCACAACGTGCGAAGGCCTTGACACCGATGGCACCGAAAAATGCGACACCGYGGCGTYCAGGTCAAAGCAAAATACCGCTGCAGATTTTTGTCCTAAAAAATGYGGGGTCTGCKATCMWCTCGTGMTTTAGGCTCACAGCCRCAGCAASAGCATTCTATCCTTCGAACGCCAGAAATGTGTGAAGCAGCCCTCGAAGTTGCACCATTCGTCGGATTTTGGTCCTTGGGCGGAATTGAACCGTTTTGCCCAACATTGATGGATTCGTGTACATACGTAAAAATGATTGGAGAAGTGTGTCTGCCGAGTCAAAGTTCGAGACAGCGTCCGAGGTTTGCTGGTGCTCGATGGCCTGCTTGTTGCACGAAAAGAAACTCTATGGGAAAAACCGTCTGACAAGTGGATTCATTTCAAGTGGAAGGACGAATTAGTAAGGAATGGAAGATATTGCAAAATCTCCTCTGACCCAATACAATCGAAAAAAACATAAAAATAGTGATACAGTGTGATACAGTGTTTCTTTCTTCAAATCTTTTTTGCATCCATTCGTGCCGATCAACTTCTTCGTGCACCTACGTTTACTATGTACTCGTACTCGTACGAGTACGCGTACCTATTATTGTGACGTTTTTCAAAAATWATGTTGACGTTCTCTTTGTTCCACGGGTGAAACTTTTGAAGTCTGACACGCGATCGGTTTGTACGTACGTCCTCGTAAATCAATGTACTGCACTTCGTATTTCACAATTCCACTTTGAACTCTTCCGGAATGCTTTTGCAGAAAGATCGTTCGAAAGAAAACCAACAAAGAAACAGCGTTCGAACYGGTGCAACCACTAAAAGAAGTCCCTTGATAAGAGGAATCCATAATCCGGCGGCCCCATTGATTTTCTAGGAGGTGGAAATAGACAGCAAGCAGATTTTATTTAGATCTCGAACACGCAGACGAATGAGGCAGCGCAAGAACAACAACCTGTCGTTCAACGACGAGGAGAGCGGCAGCGACGATGACCACAGCGATCCCGAGGATTCCATCCAAGCGGTTCCTCCGGAAGACGAAAAACCAACCCAAATGAGCCCTCTCAGGAAACAAAATCACCAACAACAAGAAGCGGGCATCGATGCCAACGGCACGACAAATCTCCTCCGAGCACGATGGAAAATGCAAACCCTTCTGGAAGAACTCCGAACCAACAAGGTCTGGTGGGCCCAGTGCTCGACGATAATGGGTTCTGCGTTCCTGACCTATTCGTACCACAACGCAGGCCTGAGTGCCACAAACGTTCAGATGGCCATCATGACGGTGATCACGCTGGTGGGCGCCTCTCCCTTTTGCAGTACCCATCTTACAACGGCCGCCATTGGTACCTTTGTCGGCGGGCAAAACATCATCGGAGCGACCCAAAGCAGCSCAGACCACGACCCGTTCGCGGTGGAATTCCGGTTCACGAATTACCTGTGGCTTCTGTGCCTGGGGGGCTGCGTCGGGCTGGTCTGGTGCTTCGGGATCACCCACCCAAGAATCAAGCTGCTGGAYGGGTACGCCGGGCGCCTGGGAACCACCACGTTYATCGGAATGAACGCGGTGATGGTGTGCCTCTGGGGTCCCCTGGGAGTCGTGGATTGGRCCCGCTACTACTATGGCCTCCGGCACGTGGTTCACGTGGCAGAAGAAGACGATCTGGCCGCCGCATCGCTGGCGAGTGCCTGGTCCTGGACGGAGGAGGTCGAGCTGGCCGTGGGATACGTCCTTTCGGTTCTGTGGATCGGCGTTGCGGGGGGTGCGACGCGCATTCTCCACCACCGATCCGTCCAGCGGTGGCATCGCCACCAGAGGGAGGCTTTAGCGGCTCGGGAGGGTGGCTTCGAAACCGCACTGCCGCAAACGCCRAAGGAGCCGGCCCCGCTCAACAACGTTTTGGTTCCGGTGTTGTGGGCCCTGTTCAGCAATCTCGTCGTCAATGCCACCGGCTACASGCATTCCTATGGTCTGTACAATGGATTTGCGGTGGGAGCCTACGTAGCAATGGCATCGCTGCAAAAGATTCCCACCGTTGCGGCCTTYGCTACCGTTTCGCTCGTTGCAGCCCTCTGGGGATTGGCTCTGACCCCGTTGTTTGTCGGATTCGCCGGCAAGTCGGGGTTTACCTCGATGATGGGGCACGTGACACACGAGGCCCTCGTGAAAATACTGAAGCGGGCACGAACGAAGCTCCTCAGGCAGCAGAGGATGCTGGACGAGGAAGAACGGCAGCGGCAACAGAGACTGAGAGAGGAGGAGGAGCGGTTGCAGCAACGCGAACGCGAGGAGGAGCGCCGGCGCTTGCAAGAAGAGCAAGCAGCGGCAGAAGAAGAAGCAAAACGGTCCGGTTCKGTCCACGAGCCGTACCATCCACCAGCCAAACCATCGAGGCAGAAGAAGAAGGAGCTGGTCTTCTCCACAAAGCAACAAAGGAGACAGCAACAGCGGATTTTGCAGCAGCAACGACAGCAACAAAAACAAAGGCAGGAGCAACAGCCCAAATTTCCGCAGGAACAAACCCATGAACCGACCCGCCCTCTCCGCCACCGKGCATGGATTGCCACCCCGGCCGACGGCGACGGAAAGTGGGAGTGGGACCGGGAATTRCAGGATTCTTCTCCCCATCTCTCGAAAAACAACATCGTGTAGTCCTAGTCACACAAAAGTCATGCTTTACAAAAATAAAAAAAGAGCTACCGATTTTTGCAGTTTTAATTCCTATGGATCGGGTTTTTCTACCATCATGGAGAAAATTTGTTTCATTCTGATTTGGAGTTGTACGTATACTTCTTGCTTCAAATTTCGCATTCGTCTTTCTACTGAAAAAAGTTAAGCCGACCTCCGTGCTTGGTCTGCGAARTGAWGTGCAACAGTCCACTCGCACAAAAATACTTGGAGATGAGAGAATATCAACTTGATTGTATTTYGCAWTGGTGCTGCACATGAAGATTGAAATCTACGGCAATTTYTAGTTTTTGCATCGATGGCGGTGGTGCCATTTCGTCCCCTGAAGYGTCCGGTACGAAACCGGTGCCAAACCACYGCTTCTCAGTCCCTGGCCTGTCGAATCGTGTAGGCCAATCCGTCCGCACCCAGGTCCTCGAGCCGCAGGTAATCGGCCCGGAGGACTTTCGCCAGCTCCCCGCCCCGGCCGACCCGAACGTGGCCCGCATCGGTGTCGAGGAAGAGGGTCGGGACGGCGAGGGAGGCCAGCTTCCGTGCGACTTGTTCCGTTTGGCCCCAAACATCGCTGTCGCTCCCATCCCCCGGGAGGGGAACGTTGGCCTTGCCATCGCTCAGCACGACCAGCAGGACGGCAAGGTCCGGTTCGTTTCGGTGCGAGCGTTGCAAGGTGTCGTGTGCGAGCGACAGCGCGTGGGCCAGCGGGGTTCGTCCGCCGGTGGGGAGCCGCTGGAGCCTCCGCTCCGCGAGCTCGACGCTAACGGTGGGCTCCAGGAGCACCTCGGCCTTGATCCCGCGAAAGGAAATGACCCCGACGCGATCCCTCTGCTGGTAGGCATCCGTGAGCAGGGCTAGGACGGCCCCCTTTACGGTTTCCATCCGTTTGCGGGCCGACATGGACCCCGAGGCGTCCACCACGAACAAAACAAGGGTATCGGTGGGAGACTGGCGGACCTTTCTCCGGTAGTTTTCGGGGTGGACGATTGGCATCCCCGTCTCGGCATCTAGGCCGTTTGCGGCCGCCGAACGGAGGGTTGCATCCAGGGCCAAGTCGGTGGGCTTGTCGGTCGGCAGGGCCCGGACGTAGCGGCCTGTTCGCTGGRTGTTGCTGCTGGGGGGAGCACGACGCCGGCCCGTTCCGGCTTGGCCTTTGGCCGTTTGTTTCCCGAGCTGGAGCCGCTTGGTTTGTTCGGGTTTGCTGGCGGTGAAGGTATGCAGGTTTTCCTCGCCCATTCTTTCGTCGTCGCCGTCGCCGTCGCCGTCGCCGTTGCTGTTGCTGTCTTCGTTGGAGTTGGGTTCGGAACCATCCGGATCCTCGTTGTCGTCCGTTTCGGCTTCCTGTGGCTGCTGTGGATTCTCTTCCGTTTCGTGGTTGCTATCGCCTTCGGCTCGTGGAGGTTGGGAACCGAGAATGCGATCCATCAGGTCATCCTCCAGACTGTTGTTGCTCTTGTCATTCGCATGCGGTGGTGGAGGAGGAGGTGGGGCATCGAAAGGATTCCGCTGCTTCCTGTGGGCTAGAACCCACTTGGCGGCCTGCTTGATGTCGTCTTTCTCTACCCCTGTTCTGCCGTGCCAGGCCGCAAGCGCTGCCGCGGTCTTGTAAAGCGTAATGTCYGCCCGCAGGCTCGCGACCCGGAATTCAACGCAGATCGAGCTGATCGCATCGAGAAGCCCGCCAGGAAACTCCATTTGAACCAAGCGTTGCCGCGATGCCAGGATGCGCTCCGACAGTTCTCGCTCCGATTCTTGCCACTTTTCCCGGAAACCAACCGGGTTTCCCTCAAAGGCGATGCGCTGCCGGACCACAGAGGACCGGGTGGATAYATCCATCGGAGCCAGTACGTCGCACATCAGCCCGAACCGATCGACGAGCTGCGGTCGAAGGTCCCCTTCCTCGGGATTCATKGTGCCGATCAGCACAAACCTYGCCGGGTGGGAGACGGCAAGCCCCTCYCGCTGCACGGTGTTGACCCCCGAGGCCGAGGCATCGAGCAGGACGTCTACAAGGTGGGCGGGCAGCAGATTCACCTCATCGATGTACAGGATTCCCCGGTTGGCCGAGGCCAGAAGCCCTGGCGAAAAGACGGGCTCGCCGCCCTTCTTGAGGGTGGCGGAAAAATCGATCGAGCCCAGAACGCGGTCCTCGGTGGCACCGATAGGGAGATCTACAAACGGGGTGGGAATCTCCCCGGCGGATGCCTCCGAGGCATCAGAGRMGGTGTCGGGGTCGCGGTTGTAGGGATCGAGTGCACCCGACAGTGAATCTCTGGCCACCCGAATGGGTGGCAAGAGCTTTGCTAGGCCCCTTGCAGCGGTACCTGAGAGGAGGAATTCGAAAACGTTGGATAGCATGGCTAGTGGGTAAGTTTGAATCCGAGTCATGTATAACGAACAAGACGAATGCCCTTATCCATTCAGCACGCCCATCATCAACTAGAAGTGGTTGTCGGCAACTATTGGACACCGTTCTAACATATGTTTTTTAGTGGATCATTTGGGAGGTGAATGGTTTCGTAGAACATGGAACAGAACATATCGCATCGTCACATCACAAGGTCGCTCTATTCAATCTATCCATCAGCATGATTCAATTAAGAATGATCTCGGCAACAATGAAACGCCGTTCTAACATATGTTTTTAAGGATCATTTGGAGATTGAGTAGGAATGCAATGCGATGCCCTTGTGGTAAATCCCGAAGGATGCGGATGGATTAATCTCATATCCATGCTTGAAATTCTAAGGATGTTACTTGAGAKGWTTAGATTGCTACGATGATTAACTTACTCTTCGCTGTGCCTTTGTCGCCTCGAATGAGGACCCCGCCAATCGTTGGGTCAATCGCACACAACACCAAGCATAGCTTTAGGTCTTCCTGGCCAACTATGGCGGCAAACGGGTAGTACTGTCGACTATCAGTTGCCATKGCGAAACAATATCATATTAKCCGGGGACATATTGGAACATCACAGTCGTCCGTCGTTTGGTATGACAGCTAGACTGCGGTGTTTATAGTTTTGATGAAATCAGCAGCTTGGTCGACTGATGGGTGCGGCTCGGTAAAAGTACSTGTAGCAAGTACGTACTTTCTCTACTGTAAGAGAAAGAACATGCGACGAGAAAAAGCGATTCGAATTTCCTCGCTTCTTTGACACCAGGCCCAGAAGGGAACCACTTTTTTCCTGTGGTGTGTGTGATGTGTGTCAACTCTACGAAGAACGTGCAACAGAGAAAGTGTTTTGAGAAATTTGAAATGCTCACCTTTTTTATCTTCAGAACAAAAATGAACCCAAGTTTCAGTTGTTTTTGTCATTTATCAGTATATAGTTTCTCGTATCCTCTGAATGACTGACTGCAGACAGACCACGATCACTAAAAATCTGAAATCCTGAACAACAAAAATATGATGAATGAGCAGATTGCACGATTTGCGGATCTTAGGACACATGAGCTCWCAAGCTACGGCATCACCACGCCAACGAAGGAAAGACCCATCAAAGACACCWCTGCTCTCTGCGTTTGATTTTCTGATCCAACTTCGATTGCTTGGCTGCGAGGAACACCTCGTGATCCGATTTCCAGAGGCAAAATTGAAATAATTTGGTGTGCTGACGGATAGAGGAATTGTTCTGRTTTGAATCGATTCACTAGGCACAGCCATTGATCCTTTTCGAACGTAAAAACACATGTCGACTCAATGGMACCATCGACAGACCGACTAATGAAAGATGGCAAACGAACCCCTACGCACARAAAACCTCGATGGTGGAAACCATGACTGCAAAGGCGATCATCAAGATCTGTGCATCGAATCGGATGAAGTCGGGAATCGAGACGAACAGCAAGATAGATTCCAGTTTCTTCTGATATCCATCAAGGATTCCGACATACTGACCCTAGACACCGCGAAATCGATGCTTCCGCTCGACTTCCCCTCCATCGAAACGCTCAATCTCTGCGAAATCAAAGCAGAATCCGACATGGTAGATCTCCTCGGAAGCGATCTCTACGACCGACAACCCCACCTGGTAGTGTTGGTCCGTCTCCTCGGAAGGGGGGTTCCCGGATTCAACCACCTTCTGAAATTTGCCAGGGAAAAGAACCACGATCTGATCGTCGTGAGTGGCATTCCTGGGAGTTTCGAAYYGGACCTGACGGCTATGTGCACGGTATCGACCGAAATCATCAACCAGGTCACGCTCTACTTCAACGCTGATGGCTGCTCGGAAAACATGGCGAACATGCTTCGGTATCTGGCCGATCATCTCCTGCGGTGTGGTTTCGGCTACGAMGCTCCGTCGGTGCAACCAGACCACGGGCTCTACCACCCGCGGTTCCCGGGCAGCGGGGCTTGTGACCGTGCCTCCACGACCAAATCGTATCTAACAAGTCTGGCCGATGCCCCCTGCCGCAAGCCAACCGTAGCGGTGATTTTTTACAGGTGCCACTTTTTGAGTGGGAACACCTCATTCGTGGACGCCATGATCGACGAGATAGAGGCGCTGGGTGCCAACGCCATCGGCTTGTTCACCGAAACGTTGCGGTCCCACGAATTYCACGACAATGTCAACGGAACCGCCGTCGAGCGCTTCCCCACAGCCCTGGCGTTCTTGTTGGACGAGGCTACGGGCCGGTGCCAGGTGGACGCCATCGTTAGCACCATGGCCTTTGCCATGGGCGAGGTCAATCCGGACGGACCAACGCTGGGGAATTGGTCCACCGATGCGGTGCGGGCCCTGGACGTTCCGGTCTTGCAAGCGGTCAGCAGTTTCGGAACCCGCACAGATTGGGAGGACTCGGCCCGCGGCCTCAGCCCCCTCGATACCGCCATGAACGTCGCCATTCCGGAATTCGACGGACGCCTCATCACCGTTCCGATCTCGTTTAAGGCACCACAGGACGAAACCAACAAGGTYCACTACTACGAACCCGTTCAGGACMGGGTCGAAATGGTGGCCAAGCAGTCCGTGAAGCTGGCCCGCCTSCGCCACAAACCCAACCGGGAGAAAAAGATTGCCTTTTTGCTGACRAATAGCAGCGGAAAAGCCCAGCGCATAGGCGATGCCGTCGGCCTTGATACCCCGGGATCGATCATGAAGGTCTTCGAAGCCATGCGGGCCGACGGGTACGATCTAGGGGACGATCTGCCCCCCGACGGCGACACGCTGGTGCAAAATCTCATCGACCGCTGCTCCTATGACGAAATATTCCTGACGGAGGACCAGCTGGCGAACGCGGCGGCCCGCGTCCCCACGTCGCTSTATCGGCCGATGTTCGAGCGGCTACCGGCGAAGCAGAAAGAATTYATGGTGAAGCAGTGGGGCCCTCCCCCGGGTGAGGCGTACGTCCACAGGGACGCCATTTCCCTGGCKGGYCTGGAATTCGGCAACGTCTTTGTGGCCCTCCAACCACCGCGGGGGTACGGTATGGATCCCGACAAAATTTACCACACACCCGACCTTCCCCCGCCGCACAATTATTTCGCTCTGTATCGATGGCTCCGGAATCAATGGGGGGCCGATGCGATTGTACACATGGGGAAACACGGGACACTGGAGTGGCTTCCCGGGAAAGGAGTGGGCTTGTCCCGGGATTGCTATCCGGACACGTTTCTGGACGACCTGCCCCTGGTCTACCCGTTTATCATCAACGATCCCGGGGAGGGAACACAGTCCAAGCGACGCGCGCACGCGCTCATCATCGATCACCTGACCCCACCCATGACCACCGCCGACGGCTATGGAGAACTAGCGCAGCTGATGCAACTCGTAGACGAGTATTACCAAATCGAAATGCTCGACCCTACGAAGATGCCTTATATTCAAAAACAAATCTGGRAATTGATCCAGAAGATCAATCTTGACGAGGATTTRTCGGTCTTGCTGCGWCCCCGTGACCACGATCGCGATGGTTCCAGAAACGAAGAAAACGGCAGTCGATCGCATTCTCACAGCCACGACGAGAGTGAAAATAATCACGAAAGCCATTCTCCTTCACGTAGCACAGACGAGGATCGCGACATTGGCCATCGCCATGAGCATCATCACCGAAATACAAGAAGCTTCGAAGACGAGGATCATGATCATTCCCATCACCATACGCATTCGCACCACGAAGAGATGCACCAAGAAGAACCCACTTTCTGCCATAATGAGCATGAGCATGAGCATGAACATGAACATGAACATGAACATGAACATGAGCATGAACATCCCCATAAACATTCTTTTGGTTCGCGCAATACAATTGATCACGGACATAACCACCACGAGAAATTCAGCCATGGTGACGATGCTGATCAGGACAAGGGCCATAGTCATGATCACGAACATTTCCACGACTTGACCCAGGAATCGCTGGCGACGATGGATGGCAAGGATTTCGCTCATCTGATTGAAGACATGGATGGTTATTTGTGCGAGTTAGCAGGTGCTCAAATCAGAGATGGATTGCATATATTGGGGCAGGTTCCGCCTCAAGGAGACTCGATGGTAGATATGCTACAAGCCCTTACCCGGCTACCTAATCTCAATRTACCATCGCTACGTGAAGCAATTGCAAGCATGTTTGGACTCRATTCGAAGAAAYTATTGTCCAATCAGGGTRCTCGCATTAAAGATCTATCACGCATTCTAATCAGTTTGGCAGATCGGCCTCTTGCAACTGCTGGTGACGCCGTACAGGCCATCGATGAGCTAGCGAAGCACTTGTTGGCTTTGCTGGATCAGCAGAACTTCGACGCAGAAAAAATCTCATCCGTTGTAGGGCAAACGTTTCCTGGAATGGCGGTATCTGCTGAAATACAAAAACTCAATGAAGTATTAACTTTTGTTTGTGAGACACTCGTTCCTTCCCTCCAGGGTACAACGCAAGAAATCAAGCACCTCCTCGACGCGTTGAATGGTAGGTTTGTTCCTGCTGGACCGAGTGGATCTCCCACGCGGGGAATGGCCCATTTGTTGCCCACGGGGCGTAATTTCTACGCCTGCGATCCGCAAGCTCTTCCCAGCTTGGCGGCTTGGGAAGTTGGGCAAGGSTTGGCGAAAGAGGTGTTATCTCGATACCTGGCAGAAACAGCAGCGTATCCRGAGCACGTAGCAATCAGTGTCTGGGGAACCGCAGCAATGAGGACACATGGAGATGACATAGCTCAGATATTTGCGTTGCTCGGTGTGCGCCCTATTTGGCAACAAGAAAATCACCGTGTCACCGGTGTAGAACTAATTCCGCTTGCCGAACTCCTCCGTCCGCGCATTGACGTCACTGTGCGCATTAGTGGTTTCTTTCGCGATGCCTTTCCCCATTTGATAACCCTACTTGACGAGGCAGTCAATCTWGCAATCAATGCTGAGGAGCCACYGGACCAAAATTATGTTCGAAAACATTTTTTAGAAGATATGTCTAAAGAAGAAATGGATGAATGTTCGGCCCGCTATCGTATTTTTGGATGCCCGCCAGGGGCCTATGGTAAGGTTGATTTTGTGGCCGAGTTTTCTGTCCCATACAAGAATAGATCTCATATCGTTCATCTTCCTGCTGTTTGAAAAATAGGAATTGGGATTTTGGATCTTATCGAAGCACAAAATTGGGAAGATGAATCTGACTTCGCAAAATGTTACATCAATTGGGGAGGATATGCTTATAGCAGCAAAGAGATCGAGGGAACAGAGGCCAAATCAGAATTTACACATCGTTTGACAACAGTCGAAGTTGCAATTCACAATCAGGACGACCGGGAACACGATATTTTTGACAGTGATGACTATTTCCAATTTCATGGCGGTATGATTGCCACAATCAGAGCCTTGTCGGGAAAACAACCAAAAGGTTATTTCGGAGATACCCAAGATCCAGACACACCCAAAGTGAGAGATATAAAAGAAGAAACCTTGCGTGTATACCGCACAAGAGTCATCAATCCTAAATGGCTGGAAAGCATTAAACGACACGGGTACAAAGGAGCTTCCGAAATGGCAGCCACGGTAGATTATCTTTTCGGATTCGATGCAACCGCTGAGGTGGTCAGCGACTTCATGTATGAGCAAATTGCTCAATCGTATGCACTTGATGAGTCAACACAAGAATTCTATGAACAGAGCAACCCTTGGGCATTACGAGGGGTTTCGGAACGCTTGCTAGAAGCGGCCCAAAGAGGAATGTGGGGAACTCCGAATCCAGAAACACTGGAAGCCCTCCGSCAAACTCTCCTCAAATCTGATGATATGTTAGAAGGGCGAGCCGATCAAGCTGTAGAATCAAATCCTTACTTTCTASAGGGAAACAGTGGAAGATAATGTTATTCGCAATTTCTCTCGATTGTGTCGCAATAAGAATGTGAATATAAAGTTTTCTCCCCGGAAGCTGGTGAATGCTTATGATTCCATCTCGCTCGAWCAAAATGTTTTCTCAAAATGAATTAACTTAACGAAGACCACGTTGCTAAACTATCTCTTCTATAAAACAAGTCAGATACTGCGTACAAGAAGTATGTTGTTGATGAAGCCACGGTTCAAAATCACACTGATTCAATTCATATTCGATTCACAATTACTATAGTTGTAGAGTCTGTCCCAACATTGCCTTGAAGGCTTCTTTTTCTTCTTCTGTCATGGTATTCATCGCACGACTGATGCCCTCGACAATTCCTCTTGTGCCAATCTTCGCAGTGTTGCCACCAGCCGTCATTACCTTCATAACCTCTTGACTCACGCATTCCTGAGTGAAATTAATTACTTTCGATTGCAATAGCTCGTGGTTGTTACCCATCCAAGTTAGCATTGCTTTGTCGTCTTCCCATTTTGCAGYATCCATACCTTCGGATTGCAAGAACCATTGCTTAATCATATCGGTGGCTTCCAGAGGAGTAGGGCTGGCTACACCGCGGCCAACTTCCGACGCATCGATGAGCTTTTTTCGTAGGTCAAATTCCGCAAGTTTCCTTCGAAGACGCCAGTAGAAGAAGGATCTTGACGATTTCCATTCAACTTGTTTTCGAATGACACCGACTGCTTCCATACGAACTGGTGTGTCGTGAAGCTCGCAGAACTGAACAGAAATTTGCTCATAGACAGGAAGAAGCGCGCATTCACGGCTCTTGATAGATTTCTYAATATTGTCTACTTCGGTATCTGAAAGACCTTCTGAAGTGAGCTGTTTGTCGAGATCGACCAATGTTTTGTCCAATCGATGCATAGTCTTGAGCAAGTCCTTAGTTCGGTACTTGACACTAGCCAAACCATTTGCTTCGAGAACACCACCTCTGGCAGTCTCSGATGATGCGTACATTTCCATTACTGATGCATTGATGGAAGCRTCGAGCACAACCCATGCTCCTCCGCGGATCTCTGCAAAAGGAGGAATGAAAACGAAGACAGGTTGTTCGTAGGCAACAAATGCGTCAACAATCAGTGATCCGTACTTCAACACTTCRTCAAACATGTCACGTTGACCACCACTGAATCCACGCCAGTTGGCRAAGACAATAAGAGGCAAGTCCTCTGTTCTGAAGTCGTTGATTGCTTGGGCAGTCTTGTATGCGCTATTCGGGAACCATACGCAACCAGCTTCTTGGATAACCGCCTCGGAGGCTTTTACATCGGCRGGATCGGCAGGCTTGATATTTTCGGCTGTTCGGTTCTCAGTAATGACAACACCCATTGGGATACCACCAAGTCGTGCRCGTCCTACGACCACCGACTTCGCCCAACCGGCAAGGGCTTCCTTGAAGCTTCCTTTATCAAAAAATCCACTCTGCCAAACTCCATTATCGTCTTCAGCCCCTGTGAGAAGAGAACGAGGATCGTAAGGAATTCCAGGAACAGGGCTAAAGGAAATCGGACGCTCAATCTCGTCGAGACCTCTTATGTCCKTGATCGGCAATAGACCTCGTCTCTGTGAGGGCACATAAGACAGCCAATTAATGGCGGCTTGAACTGAGCGCAAATGGTCGCTTTCGGCGAGATGCGATACACCATTTGAGTACATAATGCCCGGCCCTCCTAGTTGATCGTTTGTGGAGTARACATCAACACCCATCAATTTGTTAAGTGCTTGATAGCCAGTCAAAATGATAGGGGATGCCGTTGTCTTCTGAATCGTACGTTGTCCGAGGCGAACTAGGTACGCGCCAATACCAACTGTTCTTCCAAGCACTATGGTCAACGTAAAAATATCGTTGTATGCGGAACTGGTTTCTCCTGCAATAAGACCTGATCCCTTCAAGTTCTCGACTCCAAGGTCGGGTTCTGATCCAATAATGTCTGTGACACGATGAACGCTTTGACCGGCGTAGGTGATAGGTTCGGCTTTGATCAAGGGTTTATCACCTGCTGTCAAGGCTGAATAATCATCATCAGTGACGTAGATGAAGTCGAAGCCATTCTCTGGCTTGGATACATCCTTGAATGCCACTTTGAAAGTCTTTCGAACCGATTCCGAAACGCCAATYCGGGCTCCTGAATTAGCAGCAACGTAAAGGCGAGGGATTCTCTTTTCTCTTGCAAACTCTGAGGCAAGYTTGAACACAACATCCTCACGAGTTCCGAAGCTACCTGCTTTGTGAGTAATATCATTTGCAATCAATACAACTTGACGTCCGTTYGGGTATTCGACAGTTTTTAATTCCATGAGCCATGCCACCATACCAACATCATTCGCACCAGCACCTCTGTTTACTTGTACAAGTTCAAGATCACCRTTGAGATAATCATCCATCGTCCAGTCATCGGGGGCAGMTGATGGGTTTGAATTCTTAACAACAAGCTCAGTTGTGTACATTACCATCAAAGGGCGGTCAGTGCCTTGRGCTCCTTCAATCTTTGAGGCATTGATCCATTCGGATTCTACGGCAGCTTCGAAAAGCGCGGGTAGATCATAAGCGTAAAGAGTATCGGAAGATCTCAGCGCTGCTCGCCGTTGGTGATCGAATGGACGTGTAAGTGGATAAGGAGTATCGACATGAAGACCCTCCCAGGAGCTATCTCCTGCTCCCGCAAGAGTAGCCTTCGTTCCTCCAATAAGTTTGAAGACTCTATCGCCATCAGTTTCGTCGGCTGCCTCGACATAAGTGCTCAAAACATGRACATAACCCGTCGGGTTGCTAGCCACAAGTCGTAACGAAATTGGCAAAGAATCGCGACTAAGGGAACAGAGAATCTTCGTTTCAACTTCGACAATTCCAAGATTTGATACACGGTCCCCGTGTCGCTTGAGAATATCAACGACRACTTGCTCGACTACAACGGGATCTAGAACAACTTTCTCGAAGTCGCTTACCAAATTAATAAAAAGATGGTTATCCGCGCGTCTGTTTTCAGAGCACAAGTCCAGTGCATTCAATGCATCAACAAGAATCCTTTCGAAACTATTCGAAGAGAAATCTAGTGAGAAGCTCAACGCACGGACAAAAATGCGGGGGCTCTTGTTGGCCCTCTTATCATTCGCAAGCGCCGAAGCGCGAGGTGTTGCCTCGTACATGTGGACRTGTGACGTCGAAGTATGGCGTGCACCTGTTGTTCTGACGGAGAAGTTGGAAGCGACACGACCGAGATCGAGGTTGATCGCGTGGCTTGGATCGATCCCCCGAATGAGAGACTCTTCTTCAAATAAAGGCGAACGATACGTGAAAGTTGCAGGAGAKGCACCAATATTRTCCGTGGCTTCTTGGTCGAAAGACACAGTTACTCGACGAATGTTGGCTTTTTCTAACAAATCCTTGTACGGTGACAACTTCGACTGACAAATTCCAGACATCAAATCGCATGACTTTTCGTCRTTCTCCACGTCAGTTTTTGAAACAATAAGGTAGAGCACATTGATAGGGCCAACATTTTCACTTTCGGATGATGAAAACTGAGGGAAATTCTTCAAAATTCCTTCGAAAACTGAGGGGTCGTCAATATCATCAATAGAGTCGATAATCTTGCAGATACCGGTTCTCGCAACATTCGATGGAACCTTTTCCAAACCACTGACACTAAGGACTTTCTTTTCCTTGTCTCCCTCGGTAGAATCGCTAAGGCTTGTGAGATTAGAWGAGCTCACAGCGCTTGAAAGAGCAGTCATACTCGGAACAGAAGTCATTTTATGCAAAACTCTCTCAGAGGTTTTGTTAAAGAAAGAAAATTTGACCAATCGTTCATCGCTGCTTCTCTCAGTTTCATTAGTAGTGTAAAATCGGTATAAGTACCGCGCATATAGTTCCAAGAGTCCGATCTCCTCGTTGGATGAAGTCACTTCTTTCAAAAGCGGAAAGAAGACATCGAGTAGCGGTGTTTGTTCAGCTAGGAGATCATCTGCTTCCTTGGTATCAGAACTAGAGAGTTTTTGAGCCGCAACTCTTACTCTTTGTTTCCTTAATTCAAGATTAGGCATACTCTCCTGCATGAGAAGTTTTCGAGCTCGAAGCGCGACTTGGGAGTATTCACTTCGTTGGCCCATCATACCAACTTCAGAGATCGAAGGCAATGCATCGAGAAGGCTTTCTGCACCTGCTACGATTGAAATGCGCTCAGCACGTGAGCCATCATCAATGGCGTCCATGATGCGAGTGATGATGTAMGATGTAGTTTGAACTTGTTCGTGTGATCTGCAGATATTTAATATTGTAGTGGCATCATCCTTGTGCAATTTGCGGATGTTTTCAACCGAGTCTGCGTAGGATGGYTCATCGCAGAACCAGCGCTCCACAGAAATCCACTGGCGAAGTATGTCAATGAAGGATTTCAGAGCTTTTTCGGCACCTTGGACGGCATCTATTTTGCTCCTTGTGTAAGGAGTAGTCGCATCGTTGAGTTGTTGCGTCAAAGCCGCAAATGCACTCTTTGCAGAGGCATCGTTCAAAGATGATGCAWATTCATCCAAGAGCGACAAAACTTGTGAAGCGGGGAACCTAAATGAGGGAAGAGTTCATAACTGTGAGATTCATGCCAACTTCAGTTCCCCGCAAAGAAAAGCAAACGGAAATTAAAACCAATACGAACTTCCAAAACGTACCGACTMGTGCTATCGAAATCCCGAATCAAAGAAGATATGTTGCCATAAAGTTTTGCTGGGATGCGGCCACTCAACACTGATAGTTGTTCATCAACTTCCAGTACAGGTAATGACGGATCAGTTACTGCCTTCATCAAATCTTCCATCGCTTCGTCAACTTCATCTTGTCCCAGAGAATATCCCGACATAGCACAGTTCAGTGCATCCATAGCAGCGCGCAAAATCAAATGAGGTCTTTTGGCATTGGCCGGTCGCGTTGAATCTCCCCATCCTTCAACACGAAGGCTTCCTTGGAAAACTGTGGTCGTTGCAACGTTTTCGGGATTGTCTAACTCCAAGGTCGCCAACAAAGAACCAGGACTCAAGGCAGCACCTTCATTAGCCTTCCATTCGACAACACCTGCTTCTTCGACCTTCAGAGGCATGAACATTTTCATTACTTCGATTTCGGCGTATGCCTCTCCCTTCTTGACACGGGTGCCATCTGGGACGAGTCGTTTCACCAATTTTCCTGCAACGTCAGTTCGCAGAGAGGTAGGATCGTAATCAGGTGAAAAGGCAATACTGGAACCGGCAACATTCAATTTCATTCCAGTTGCTGCATCGCCCCTACTCGTCAGATAAGCAACGTGAGATTGGCCACCAATCTGTATCAAGTACCCACCGTCGCTCAAAGAACGAACAGTMGTCATCACAAAACTTCCACCCATGTTAGATCTGCAATCCTCAGCAAGTTCGATCTTGAAGGAGTTTTGTCCCTTRCGCGTGCACGTCATTTTGTATTTGGTTCCGTTGAGAATTAGTTCAACCGAATGAGACATCTTCAAGAGACTTCGAGATGGGAGTTGCCCCTTCGACATCAGTTCCAGAAAAGTTGACTCGTCTTCGCGGCAATTTTCGTAGCCTACAATCGTCGCTCCCAAAACCACGTACAAGTGAGAGCATTCGCTTGTCAAATCGGTYACAGATAGAGTATTGCGTTTCAAACTAGATCTACCTGATGTCGCATTTTGACCCGAATTTTCATCTACCAGATTCGCAATCCCGTCAACGTTTTCTTTGATGATACCATCCAACCAAGCCGTATCAATATTATTGTCGATAAAGTCTTCAAGTTCAATCAAACGCGAAATGTAATCAACTGTCGTTGAAATGTCTCCCCGAATGGAGAGTTCTTTCAGGGCCAGAACCATGTTTCTTCTGGCTTGTTCCCGATCGACACCATTGGCAAACAAGTGACCAAACTGAGAGTCGGCAAATTCATGAATGCTTCCACTCGAATCCATTGAAAAGTAACCCCAAACGCTTGGAGTAGATCTGAAGTTGAGCTCTTGAATGCCTCCACTGGTGGGTTTGAATCCCGCCTCGGCATTTTCGGCCGTAATTCGCACAGCAATGCAGTGGCCGTTAGCAGGTTGTCGTTCTGCACTAGCAAAGTCAATGCGAGCCTCTGGTGAGGAAGGGTTATCCTCAAATCGGCTTCTACCGTACAGCGTTCTAATTTCCGGGATAAGGTCGAGAGGAATTCCCATGGCCACCTGCAATTGAGCAGCGGGGAGATTCACGTTGGTAATCATTTCCGTGACAGGATGCTCAACCTGAAGACGAGGGTTCAGTTCAAGAAAGTAAAATTTGGCGTCGTCCTCCGAATACAAATATTCTACAGTTCCAGCATTGGCGTATCCAACAGCCTTAGCGAGGGCAACCGCGGCATCTTCCATCTCCTTCCATACGTGGGGCTTGGCCGATACTGGAGGACCTTCTTCGATGATTTTTTGATGACGTCTTTGGACAGAACAATCACGACCGTTCAGTGCAACAGCATTTCCGTATTCGTCCGCTAGCAGTTGGACCTCTAAGTGCCTACTGTTCGTGGAAAGTTTCATGATGAAAATGGGAGAYCCAGGGACTTCTCCACAAACTTGGCGGTAGGCGTTCGCAACATCCTCAGCTTTGTGAACCATTCGAATTCCCTTTCCACCACCACCCTCACTAGCCTTAATCATAACAGGAAAACCAATTCGGGTTGCGGCCTCACTCGCTTCTGTCGCGGAATGAATAGTTCCCTGTTCGTAGGCAAGATCGGGAAGRCTTCCCGTATTTCGGTCATACTCTGCTCTGACTTCATCTCCGTTCCAACCAATACAAGGAACACCCGCAGTTTGGGCGATAATGGTCGACCCAATCTTGTCCCCTAAAGCCTGCATCGGCGGACCGGCAGGACCGATGAATTTGATGGGTGGRGTGCTGCTGGCGAGGGAATTGGGTAGGAGAGGGTTTTCCGAGGCGTGTCCCCATCCGGCCCAAACAGCCTGGACACCATGAAGGCGAGCTAATTCAACAATTAGCGTCACATTAGCGTAGTTGTGATTGTTCGATCCACCAGGAACATCAATGATGACGTCTCCCATACGAATGTATTCCGCGTTCGCACTGAGAGGGAATATCGAAAGGATGTGTGAGAGACAGGACTACCACTTACAACTGAACAGAAACACTTCAACAAAACAATCCATAATGTTTTCACCCTCTCCATTGACRCATTCAGATTTTTCGCACTCACCGCATATCCTCTGGGGTAGCCATAACCACAAACTTAATGGCGCGCTCRTTTCCGAAGACCTCATAACTCCATTTCCTCATGGAGCGAATCGCTTTGACGGCGCCCACTCCGTTGTTTGCGATCAGTATCTTTTCRATAACAAAACCTTTTGGCCCACCCAACTCGTCGACGTAATGTTGGGGCGAATCGAACCATCTGTGGCTGGCTTCGGATTTGTCATAGAATTTTAAGCTCGGCGTGGAAGACATGAATTCTGACATGATGGTATATTCTTAATGCGTGTGAAAATGATTGATCAGGTTGTACTCTAGTTCTGTCCTTCTCCTTCGATATCTTGTGTATGAGATTAAGATGCTTCTGGTGTTCTTGGAATGGTGGTCGGCCTCCTGCTCGTCTAAGCCTTCTACGATGGAATGGAATGAAAGGAAATGATCGCAATCCGTCTCGTTGCGCTCCTGTATCGAGGGAAAGCATCCACAGGGGTTTGGAGAGGAATTCGAAAAGAGGAGCTTGTTTAAATTCCGCTAACAGTGTTTCTTGTTAGGTGCGGATGTGTCAAAATTCCCMTGTTGACAAACGTACATGAGTACATAAAAAATCTACACTGCGTCCATCAGGATAAGCACAATCCAATGCCGKGGACGTGAGACTGCAAGACCACAAACGTGTTGTCATTATTGTTACCGCGCGACGTCATCACGTCACAAGCTAGATAACTGAGCCTCGTAAACGTGTAGCGCGTGGCGCGAATTCCAAAGAGATAATTAGGTTTTGCGGTAGTACTCGTACTCGTACTCTGGATACTGGCTGGTACAGAGGAGCGGATAGCGTGATGAGAACCCAAAATTTAAAATGCATCATCGATTTTCATTCGTACATTGATACTGCACGACTGGAATCAGCCACTGTCACACAACGGAGTTCAACATAAATATCAGACAAAACCGGTTCCCACCAGGGATCAGATTTCGAAGGGTGTGTGCTGGGCCCTCCGGTACCCACGCGCACATCCCCCTTTTCGAATTCCTCCCCTAGAAAAACGTGGGTTATTTTTCACCAAAAATAACCCACGTTTCTTGAAACGTGGTTTTTTAACTTGAAAAATAACCCACGAAAGAACCCACGAATAACCCAGGAATTTATAGTCATCTGGGTTGATGGAGAACCAAGGTGTTAAGTATTTTAGTCATTAACGTTATTTAATCACTGTTTTTAATATTTGGAGAAAGGCCCAGCAGGTTTGTGGGTTTTTTGTGGGTTATTCATGGGTTATTTCGTGGGTTATTTGTGGGTTATTTGTGGGTTAACCCAGGAACCCAGGAACCCACGTTTTTAAACATCATGGGTTATTTTTTGGGAAAAAAAACATGAAATCATACCCCCGATATTAGATTTCAAAGGGGGGACGCGCACACGTTGGTTCCGGAGGGCCCTGGGAGAAAGTAGGACGTTTGATGCATCTCAGTCAAAAACTCTCCAGTTTGAGAAGAAAATTCAGAGGCTTCTTTTCACAATTACTACTACTACTACTACCACTACTACTACCACTACCACTACCACTACTACTACTACTTTTAGAATTAAAAAATCCTAATAATATAATATAATTTCATAACTAGTACTAGTGGATGATTGTGGGAGATCTATGAGTAGTAGTATGAACTCACAAATAATTTGGTCAGCAGACAGGCTCCCAGCCGCACCATTGCCACCATGATGATGGGTGAATACTACTAGTCTCCTAGTACTACTAGTAGGAACTGGAATGGAGATCTGGGCCAGAGTGTTGGCTCATGGTGAAGAAGAGATGGTCCAAGCCACTAGTACTACCACTATCTAGTATGTCTGAAAGTGGATGGCTGGGTGAGGAAGGCTCCTCCTTGTCCTGGGATCTAGTATTTCTCTGGTAGATTAACTTCACCACCATCATGGTGAAGAAGATTGTTGTACTACTAGCATTCAAAGTAATTCTAATACTACTAGTAATGCCCCCTTCAATAAATAGTGGCACTTCTCAAATTTGGGAGAAGTACAGGGCAACAAAGATGAAGACATCAGTTGTCACAACAACAAGAGCTGAGAGTTAAAGAACAACTGGTGCAAATTAATTTTTTACCATTTCCCTAAAGATAAAAAAGATAAATTCTGCCAAGAAATCCTCAAATGACAACAGAATTTATTGAATTCTTGTGTACAAGACAAAATAGAGACGAGGTAGAACAATAAATCACCATTCAACATCACCATAAAACAGAAGAATAGGGAAATTCAAATATTTTTAGTCCATCTGTGGCTGCTGGCCTCACCAGCGTTGTCTTGTACTATGGATCATTTCCTATTACTTTGTAATTCCCCATCACATCCTCTCCTTCTTATTTTTTTGTTAAAATTCTTTGTGAATAGTCAATATCAGCCTCTTCTTTGTACTTTGTTAAGAAGTGTGTATTTCTATTTTCTACTTCTTCTACTAGTACAATTGCTAAAAGTTGGGTTTTGATAGTGAGGAACAAATGAAATTCTATCTTATTTTTGATTACTATTTGAGTAAGCACAATTGGTACTGCTACTAGTATTTAGGCATAGAGGAAACTTGTCTGACTTTTATCATTAAGCCTTTTCAATCTCAAGAACAAAAAGAGTTCGGCAGTAACAAGAAAGTCCTCACTGAAATATACAGAAATGATATACTTCTTGAAAACAATACTAATCACCACTATCTCGTCTGTCCCTGAATATCGTGTGGTTCAAGAGACATTTTTGTGATCTCAAAGTAGTATCCTTTATTAAATGATAACACTTGGCACTAATTCAATTCACACCAAAAAGAATATGACTGGTGGACTAGTAGATGAAAGGAAAAACAATCGATCATGTAAATTCCTCCATAGTAAAGAAGCTAAAAAGCAATGATCTTGTATTATCAAGAACCACAAAATAATATTCCATTCAGACTCACTGACACAAATACTAGATCTTCAAATGCAAGTACCAGCAAGTACCAACAAATGTATGCATCACACAGGCAGTATACCTTGCTATAATGATTGTTGATTGTTTCCTTGAGAAATATACTGGTAGTGTACACCAAGTTGGATAACTCTTCCATTGCAAATCATGCAAACAATCACCAGTTACTATATTCAAAGTAGTAGTAAATAGGTTAATCAAAATAAGCACCATCATGACACCACCCAMCAAGACAAAGAGACAATCCATTTTTTTCATCACAGCCCTGGTAATTTTGTAGAGTGGGTCATTTGTACTATGATTACTGGCTTGGCTTCTGTTGCCACCAAAATGAACCATTCAACAGCAAGAAATCAATTGGTGGTCATTCTGGTCCTGACAAACGGAGAATAAAACAAGAACAAAAGTGCCAACAGGCCTTCCACCTTGTTATCTCCAGCACAAGAGCCATCTGTTGTTTTCCTTGCAGTGTGGGAAGGACCTGAGGAGGTTACACCTCCTTCAGATGTACTAGTAGTGTACTTTCCTGTTCATCATCACCCAAGTTCTAAGCCAGAGATGTTGCTTGTTGCCATCGTCAATTTTTGATACTTTGGGCCACCAGTAATTTTAAGGTTGTTGATAGACATTCAGCTAGCTACTAACTACTAGTAGTATGTCTTCTTGTTGAAATAATCATGATGATACTTCTTCCAGAAGTGGTAGTACTACTAATGGTAATAGCAGCTTAGGATCTGCTTCTTTTCATGTAGATTTGAACTAGTAGTAGTAGTGCAGCAATATGTACTAGTAGTCAAAGAATTGAACAATACTCCTTCTTGGGGATTCCTAGTGGAGATAATAAGTGGCATTTTTTTAACTTTCTTCATCTTCATCTTCATCTTCATCATCATGAGGCCTTTTGATTTGTCACCACCACCAACAAGGAGTCTTTAGTAGCAGCAATGCCATCTTGGGAAAAATTAGAGTAGTAGGAAGTGATACCAGAAATACTAGCAGTCACTTGAATGAGAACCAAAATTGGTAGTATAAACACAGAAAATAGTAGTTCTACTAATATCTCTGGAGTAACACCTGCTAGCATCTATATGAGGAGGAAGGTCACTAGCCAAATCTATGATGCAGTAATAGGTTTTGGTGCTAACATTCCCRTTATAATTTTTAACTCCCACGCATGCATTAAAAATTGAATCCCACATTTGCACAATCACACCTTTCCTTTTTATTCCCAGAATTGAAAACCGCAACCATCTCACCTTTGAGGACCATCATCACATGTTGCTGTGAAACTCTTACATCAATAATTCTTGAAGCTTCTCATGAAAGCCAATCCTTTTACAAAATGTACAATTGAGTCGTTTTTTGTAAACCATGGTGGTAATACAATAATTTCTTCTTGTGTCAAAATTAGTTCAACAGAAGAAATGGATTGGCAGAAAGGACATTATTTTTTTGTATTTTAGTCTCATTCTTTTACCATGTACTAGGATTTGTAGTAATGCACCAGTCCAATACTCAGGTTCAGATGTGAAAATTCTGGGAAATTGTTCACAAAATGGAGGGAGAGTTAGGGTGGCAATAGTAGTAAAAGCCAAAAATGGTGTTCAAATAACAATGTCATACTACATAAGAAACTATGCTTATCAGTACTAGTACTGCTGCTATGCTGCAGAAAAAATATTTGCATTCCTCCCTAAATATTGTTGAACTTATTTCACCTTGCATGAAATAGCTTGTACTGATGAATTAGAATAGTGTTTAAACTGAATTATAATGAATTATCTGTTATGGAGGTCTAGATCTCCTTGTTGTACACAGTTACCCATGTTGTAGTCCATCAGGAACTAGTTTCCATGGTTCTGATCCCCTGTAGATCTTAGGAGTGATTCTACTGGGGAGCTTTAGAACAAAACTCATTGCTGACATGGTGACTTACTAGCTCTTTTGTGCTTCTGATTCTGATAGGTGATGTCATCAAGAATAGGAATTATCAATGCTCTAAGGCAGCATATGCAACATGTAATATATATACTAGTACTGCATAGAGTTTAGACTGGAACATATGATATATGTAGGTCCGATTCTGGGGACTTCTCACAATTGATTCTAATCTTGTAGTTTCTGGTCCTGTACCATAGATCTAGTCCCTTGGGTTCATGAGTGATCCTCACCAGTACTGGTCCTACACGACTATCCTCAGCACTAGGCTCGCGTACACGTTGCACACCTACAGAAATGCTTTCARAGGGACATATATTGCAAATTGTGGACTGAGGATTAGTCTCCAATTTGAGTTCAACTACAATGATGAGTACATCATTGTTGCATTTTCTTCCAATACTAGTACTAGCACTATTGCTGTCAATACTGATCAGTTCTTGCTAGCTATTACTTTGTATTAGTAGTAAGTTCTTGGTGGGACATTATGATGGTGTTACTAGTACTCTGAGATTTTTGAGTTTCAGTCAACAACCTGAGGAAGGAAATGCAACTGAACAAAATTGCAACTTTTATATTTTTTCTGGAGGGAAAAATTGAATCAGGTACAGGAGTGGGGAAAATTAATTTTGAATTCAGGCTGGCTCCCTAGTAAATCCCCACACAAAAGTGCCATCATCCAATCCTGAATGTTTTCTTCACAAACAACCATTATACACACTCCTCCATGGTAGCAGCTAACCACTCTWTAACTCAAACTAGACATCAGATTTGAACACAATGTTTTGCAGATATTATCTTTATCACCTAAGAGATTGGAATAAATTGTTGGATTGACCAGCACCAATATTGTGTTATTTTTGTACAAGAAGCATGGAGGAGCAAAGGAAAAGTGTCCTCATTCATCAATCATGAAGGAATAGAGGGAGTCACCAGGAATTAGTACTACTACCACTACTTCTTGTATGRTAAAGACGTAAAGGAATTGTTGCAAAAGTTATGCAATACTGTCATGTATATTTATGACATTGTTGTTGATATTCTTTAGTACTTCAACCATCAGTGGCTGCTGTAGTAACAATGTAGTAGTAGTTTAATCAGTACTACCAATATTTGTGCTTTTTTTTCTCATTTTCTTCCTCTACTAAAATKGTTTCAAATGGTACTGAGTGCTAGGACATAATCAGTGGACAACAACWACWASTACTACTAGTACTACTACTRSTASTAGTAGTAGTGTAGTTCTCATAGCAAGAAAGAATGAAAAATTATTTTTAGGGTAGCAACAATTCTTCTTGCTGGTGGCAACAAAAAACAGAACAGGAAAAATCAAATTAACAGACTTCTTCTTGTTCTTGTTGGCATTCCTCTTCTGCTCACATATTATACTATCCTTGTTCTTCTTAGTACCATCAACCAGTACTACAAGTGGTACTGCTAACCTTACTAATACTACTACTACTAGCAGTGTTAGTACTACTACTAGTCTACTACTACTACTAGCAGCCTTTCAATCATGAGGAATGTCAGCGGCTCAATTCCAAAAACTAGTGGCTCTGTAGAACATACTAGTAGGTAGTGGAACTAAAATTTCTCTTCTTAGGACATATGAAGAAGTTCTTACTACTAGCATTAGTAGCATCAAATTGAAGAAGTTTATAACTTCTTCTTCTTCTTCTTCTTGAACAAGAAGAAGCAAGAAGAACAAGAAATTGAAACTTCTTGTTGTTTCTTCCTACAATCACTGGTTTAAATTGTTCTAAAAGACACATATTACTGCAATTACTATTGATGTTAGTAATCTCTACCATGAGATCCACTTATTGTTGAACACACTAATCATCACTACTAATAGTAGCAGTACTAGTACTACTACGAGTGGTTGCACTACTAGTAGTAGTACAACAGAACGCTCGAGTCGTCCGCCTCGTAATATAACGTATCCGAACGCTTGTTTTGTGAATCACGAGCAGAAGGATATTTCATCGGGCAATATTCGGACACTACTTATTGCAGCCTTTCAACGACTGAACCACGACATCGGCTTATTTGGCAATGACACCACTTTGTCAAAAAAAAACAGAGATGTTCGTGTTCGATGCCCAAGAACAGGTCCAAGTTGATTGATTGTGTTCTTCCCATCCATCGCGGGATCAAAATCCGATTCCAAAGCAAAGCAAAGCAAAGCAAATCACAAATCACATATCGCAAATCGCATATCGCACATCTCAACTCACTGCAACCGATCTCATTAGGTACGGTACCCACCACAGCAACACAAGTCTCGCCACACCAAACGATGCCAATCCCACCGTTCCTCTCTAAAGCTGCCCAGCTTCTGTGGCTCGCCGCTCTCCCCCCGATGGCAACTGCCGCCGACGACTCGCTCCTTTCGGTCTACGAAAGCATGTCCGTCGAAGTCGATTCGAGCGACTACGTCATCCACGATCCCTCCCGGATCATCACCGTCGGCAACACGCAGATGATTGCCGTCACCGGCAAGGCCCAGGAGGACGGCTACGACTGTGGCCTGGAGACCTGGTGGAGGAACCCCMAAACCGACGGCGGCGGATGGAGGCCCGGCCAGTGCCTCTTTCGGAAGCAGRACAARCCCTCCTGGGTGGCCGTGGAGGCACCCGCGAACGACGGTGCCTTCTGGGCACCCGAACTCGACTACGACGAAGAAAACGGGACCCTCACCCTCCTCTACAGCGTCTCCGAAATGGACGAAGGGGAATTCTTCCCCAACACCTGCGTCGGGGTGGCGGTTTCCGTGGACGGCCTACAGGGTTTCCCGAACGAGCTCACCTGGGAGGATGCCGGGAAGCCGGTGATGTGCATCACCGGCTCCGATTACGAGGAAGAACGGAGCGCCATCGATCCGAGCGTCTTTTGGGGTTTTGGAGACGACGAAAAMAGGCTGTTCCTGGTCACCGGCGGCGGGCGGATCATTGGCACCGAGCTGGATCCCGCAACCTATATGCAGAAAGACGGAGAATGGTTCGATCTAGACCGAGACGACTGGACCGAGCTCTCCACCGGTCCAAGGYGGGAAGACGACACCTGGGTCGAGGCGGCCTTTGTTCATCCAAATCCCCAGACCGGCCACTACTATCTCTTTGTCAACTGGGGAAGCTGCTGCAGTGGCGTCGATTCGACCTACGAGATCCGCGTCGGCCGATCGAGAAATCCCATGGGCCCCTATGTGGACAAGAAAGGACAACCTATGATGGAGGGCGGGGGGACCCTCTTCCAAAAGAGCAGCAAGCGCGGGYTTGTCGTCGGACCCGGCCACACGGGCATCTGGAAAAAGAACCACAAGAAGGAGTTCGTCAGCTTCCACTACTACGACAAGCGGAGGGGTGGCGCCGCGTGGATTGCCGAAAAGAGGCTCAGGTGGAAGAGAAACGGCTGGCCAAAAGCCGTTGGAAGGTACCTCCGAGCGTATCCSTGGAACTCGGACKACTAGCTAGTGGGGGAACAATCGTCCTCGAACTAAGCACACRGTGCTCGCAAAATCAGTTACTCGTGTTTTCTCTTATTGTATGTGTACTATTAGAAACATATAATTACTTGTAGTTTGCATTGTTGTTCTTGGTTGCGTCGTCGTGTTCTGTAACACGAYAACAGATGACAAGCGGTGGCGGCGATGAAATGTTCTGYTCGCACCACTTCTATTGCTTGAGAGTGTTGCCTGCACTCTCCATGGCCCCATTGAGCATCAGATTGCTGATCATGGCCCACGAACGGGGATAATAACTGTTTGGCAAGGCGCGTCCAAGGATGGCGCCCGCGGCATCAATCATGGCCTGGGAATTCCCGCCCGAGGATGCAGCAATCAATGCCGAGTATGTTGGGCCGTAAATGAACGCATTCGACTGCCAGTTCCCGAACATGTTGATGTTTTGGTTGGTGCCTGGACCGCGGCAACTCGGAAAGGTATTGGACGGGAAAGACCCGTTCTGGAAGTTTTCGGACATTCTTTCGTTGTAGTGGTTCAGGTATCCGGACCACTCGCTCGAAGAGTCCGGGTAGAACGCCGCGTCTAGTGCCACACGGAAGGTGGTTCGGGCGGCCTCCGCTCCGTATTCGTACTGCGCGGTACCGCTGCCGGAAAAGCTGCCACCCGTGTGAACAATSTGCCCGTTGCGCACACCGACCGTAGCCCAGTTCGGAACAAGGGCGCCACCATTGGAACACTGGACCGCACGCAAGACCTCGTGGGAGGTGTCGATCAGTTTTGTCCATTCSGCCGGTGTCACGGCGTTGTATCCCTGGCGGAGATTGTYCGGGAAGGATTCTTGGTAGTCTTTCATGACGCGRTACGAGCCAGGGCTGTGATAGCTAGGGTTGTTGCCATTGTTGTCCCATCCACCCCAGCACGACCCGAGTTTCAGCAAGCGATAATCGCCCTTGGACTTGTCTACGCTGTAAGTGAAAAACGCGGAAGCCGAGGCATCGGCCCATCTTCTTGCTTCTTCGTACCAGGATGGCTTGTTTGSATCGTTCTCCACGGCCTTCACGGCGAGCATGATACCGACAATGGCATCTTCGTCTCCATCGGGTGCCGGCCCGGTTGCTGTGCTACCTCCATACTTGGAGTGTTTCCAGTCGGGAAGGCAGACATAAGAGTTAGAACCCGATTTGCAGTACTTTCCGTTTGGTTGGCAATTGGMATTGTTGTTCGATGAATTTTTGCACATGTCCTTCCAAAAGTAGTAGTATCCTTCAAAGTATTTGAGGACCTTTGCGCGATCGGAACCGGAGACTTTTCCAGCATGAGTGTCCCAGCTRGCAAGCACGGTACCGGTGATCAGAAGACCATATGCTTGGCTCTCGCTCACCACATCATTTCCACCCCCAGCAGCTCCTCCACTACAAAAAAATGAAAAAACAGAGCAAGAAATTGCTRTGAGATCCCAAAGCTTCCGCTTCAAACAGTTCTTCGTTTGAAAACAAAACGGCGGATGTACTCATCCAACTTACGAAGCGACAACMGCATAGTTGAGAGGGCTTTCCGAATTCTTGTGGGTGATGAAGTCGAGTCCTTCGAATACCTCCCATGCGTTCAATCCTTGGTTAGTAGTGAGCAATTCGCCGCTGAATGGTGCAGTTGGCGACGGTGCTTTCGTTGGCACCGGCGCGGGTGTAGGCGGCGAGACGGGGGTAGTTGGGGTTGTAGGTGGTGGATTGCTTCCGTCTATAGGACCAAAATTTGTCCTAAAATCAAATTCCATATTACCACCAA